CCCCAACAGTATCTGATGGGGAGTAAAAGTACAAGTACAGCCCCCAACAGTATCTGATGGAGAGTAAAAGTACAAGTACAGCCCCCAACAGTATCTGATGGGGAGTAAAAGTACAACTACAGCCCCCAACAGTATCTGATGGAGAGTAAAAGTACAACTACAGCCCCCAACAGTATCTGATGGGGAGTAAAAGTACAAGTACAGCCCCCAACAGTATCTGATGGAGAGTAAAAGTACAAGTACAGCCCCCAACAGTATCTGAGGGTAAGTAAACAGGTCCCCTATTTGAAAAGTTTGTGGAACCTCTCTACGCGTTACTGCACTAGTTGCCTTAAATGTCATTCCTGTGTTGTTACGTATGGATATTTGAGGTTTAACGGTCCCCCCCCCCCCACCTCCCTCATGTTCCTCCAAAGGCTGTAGTCCTTTCCGTGCGAAATAGGGGGGGGGGGGGCGGAGGGTGAATGTGTGCTAAAGGTCGCATAAGGGGGCGGGTCAGGCACACCAGCAAACTGCGCGCTTCAGTCGTGTCAAGTTAATCGATACCAGAACACAAACGTGAGGATCCATACATGAAGATTGTGTCGTCATTGGCCTTTACTGCTTGGATGCCCAGGAACTAAATCAGCCTGCCGTGTGTGGGGTAATTATGAAGATTGTGTCTTGATTGGTCTTTACTGCTTGGATGCCCCGGAGCCAACTCAGCCTGCTGCGTGTGGGGTAGCTTTTATTAATAGGTTTGTGTCGTAACACAGCGTGTAGTGTAGGATTAAGTGTTGCCATTCAAGAACACATTTCGTGCCTCTAAGCGCGAATAAACCGATTCAGCTCTTACGATTCATTAGTTCCAATCATGTCCAATGTGATGATACTGTGCTCAAGGGGTGATTAATCAGAGACAGTAAGTAAAAATTTCATATACCTGGGTGTTTCAAAGAGTTTATTTTGTAACTATACGTTGTGTGGTCCAAAATTGTGTCTGGTTTGGTCAACGTTTGAATGATTGTGTTTTAGGGAATCACTGTTTGAACGCCTTTTAGAGTAGGCCTATTTACCAACATCTCTCTTTCTCAAATTTTCTTCTGTGTGCTTAGACACAAACTATCACTGTTGAACGTCTTGCTTTAGCTGTCATCTCCACTAGTAATCTTCTTCTTCTCTCTCTCTCTCTCTCTCCGTCTATATCTCTCTCCCCTCCCCTTCTCTCTCTCTCTTTCTCTCTCTCTCTCTCTCTGTCTCTCTCTCTCTCTCTCTCTATGTATCTCTCTATCTCTCCATGTATCTCTCTATCTCTCCATCTGTCTGCCTATATCTCTCTCTCCCTCCCTCTCTCTGCCTCTCTTCCTCTCTCTTTCCCTCTCTCCTATCTTTCGCTTGCTCGAATAACCAATATTTTCTATTTATTATTATATATTATTGTTGAGCCGTTCTTTTCTTTAGACCCACCACGTGTATGTGTGTGTGTGTGTGTGTGTGTGTGTGTATGTGTGTGTGTGTGTGTGTGTGTGTGTGTGTGTGTCATTATTCGATCTGTACTCTGATGTGGGCTGTTAAGATTATACATGTAATTGGAAAAGAGACCACTCAACCTGGCTAAAATAAGCCTATATGGTATTAGGACAAGGATACCATTCTAGAAATAAACCAATCATATAACCCCTTTACCTTCATTCCTCGGGACATGCTGTAATATAAGAAGGCCAAAGTTCGCGAAAGTCAACATTGCGACTAGGATTTTCCGCAGCCAAATTTTTTTCAAGTCGCATTTTAAACGACCGATTCTGTTGTCGGCCCTAGAAATATGAATATTTTAAAGTGCATCTGACTTCACATCATAAATATCGGCCCTGTCCACATCTGACATGTGATATGTGTTATGTGAGTATCGGAGATCATGATAATGTTACAATGCATTTGCCCTAAACTTATAAAGGGCAGGGGGGAGGGAGGTATAAGGAGTTTTCATTGAGGTTGAAACCACCGAAATGCATCCTCCTTAAAAACAGTGTTTCTTTCAGTCAGGGCGGGGGGGGGGGGGGGGGGGGGGCGTTGCATTCCCCCCCTCCCTCCAGAGAAAATCAAATGCGACCCCCTCCCCAAACGGGAAAATATAATTTATTTAAAAAACCATTGGTGTTAGTCGTATAAGACTTTTGATAAAAAAATAGTTGAATAGTTTAACCTAAAATATCGCTACGGTCATTAGATTTGATTATCCGAATATTCACAACAACTCCAGATGCAGCGTTCGATTTTAAATACCGTATTATTCTCAAAGATACCTGTAGTATTTATTGATTGATTGCAACCAGTGATAATTTCAGGTACGTTTCCGAGGGGGTGGAGGGAGAGGGGAAGTGAGCGCTGTCACCACAGCAAGTCAACTACACCCCCCCCCCCAAACCCTTTTAACACCTGTAGCAAAAGGTGTTAATAAAAGGAAAATATGATTTAAAAAAACAACAAAAAACGAAATTATACTTTTTACATTTTTTATTTTGAAAATATATATTAAATGGTAGCTTTGATCTCATAATATTAGGGAAATGGTGAAACCAATGAAATATCGATACGCTCAAAATATTGGATGTTGTTCACATATTATTATTTTATAGGCCCTACCGATGTTTTGTTGTTGTTGCCACATTGTCAACATACTCAGTTTAAAGACTTACTCATTATGAGGAAAAGCGAGGCCCATACTGGCGGTCTGTACCCGGTCTACAGATAACAATACAGAATTCAACTCACTTCCCATCGCTTTAAAGGCCTAGATTTTGAATTAGTTCTGGTTAATTATCGAAGATAGGGAAAATGTTTTTTTCAGTATCTATTTCTTTACAACAGCTTTGTAAACTAGAACAGGCTGTTCATTTATATTGCGTCGTCATGATTTAAAGATATAGATATGTGATTAATTTTTACCATTTAAAACTATTTGTAAAAGTTATAATTAAGACCTGTTATATAAAAAAAGCATTTTTCTCTTTTTGTATGTGGTAAAACTTATATCAATATTTTGGAAAGTAATTAGTACACTTGGTTTTTGTGACAACCACCTTGCTGTATGATGGAACAACAGCAAAAAAACAACAACATCAAACACTATTTCTCAATAAAGATGTGTAACGAAATAAATCGTTTAAGTTAAATAAATTCAACACAACTATTTAGAAACAGCTTAAAATAGAGTATACTTGTATAAACACAACAGGCCAAGAGACACCAAAATGCTGTTGCTCTCCATATAAGTGCAGAATAATGCAAAACTAAATTTTTAGGTAATTTGTTAAGGAGGAGCGTCGCTGCATTTTAAATTTAACACAAAAATAATCTTGGGATGAGCTCAATGAGTCCAGCTACAATGAGTCCAGCTGAGATACCACCACTCAATGGATATGTTTTTAGGGGATGTGCTTCTTGCATTTTGAAATTTGGTTTCTGTAGACTAATGGTCAGTCCAAACTCTTTACATGGGTGGGAAAGACGATTAATTAACCACTGCAGACCTTCTGTGTGCGATGTTAAGGTGGCTTCGTCAGCGAACAGCAGGTAACGAATTAGTAACATTTTTATCTTGGTCTTTACACAAAGGCGGGCGATATTGAACAGCCTAACATCAGATCTGGTATGGATGCATACTCCGTATTCACAGTCCCTGGAGGCAAACTGAAGAAGCATTGAGAAGAAAATGGAGAAGAGCGTTGGTGCCAGTACGCAGCCTTGCTCCACTCCTCTTCTTACTGGGAATGCCTTTAAGGACCGCGCTATTGAAAGTTACTGCACTGTGCATATTTCCATGAAATGGTTGATTGCGAGCAAACGTGGGGGACAACCTATTCTATGCAAGATAACGAACAGGCATCTCCAACTTACCAAGTCGAATGCCTTGGTCAGATCTATGAAAGCAATGTAAGGAGGCTATGTAGCTCACGACACTTCTCCTGAGAAACCACATCGGAAGTCCCACTGGGACTCTGGTTAGCCAGACTCGTTTAAGGGCGACACGGGCAAACGTCTTTCCAACTAAGCCAAGGAGAGAAATTCCTCGGTAATTATTACAATTAGCAGGGCCACCTTCATTTTTGTACAATGTTACGATGTTGGCGTCACTCATGTGTCCTGCTTACTAACACAAGACTTTTACAATGTTACGATGTTGGCGTCTCTCATCCCCTTGGATTGTGTCCTGCTTTATAACAAAGACTTTTACAATGTTACGATGTTGGCGTCTCTCTCTGCCAAGAATATGCCTGTGCCTATGCCTATGCCTATGCTGGTCCTCTGTCATGATATGAAAACAAATTATACAATGATATGTTAAACAGTGTGGCAGGCCAAAATAAAACGAGCTGAAAAATTGGGGTATGGCATGACTAATGGAGACATTAGTTGTCACATGAGAAGTATCTTGTCTTGAAGCAATCATGTTTCCTTTCAGTGAGTACTTGGAGGATGGTACCTTGGAGAAGCACGCAATGCCAGATGCACACCACCTGTTTGCTTTAGAATCCCAGTAAAGTTTCCCCTTTGGTAGTCACAGCTCAGACAGCGTAGGATGGCCTTAGACAAAGAGATTTCTCCAGGAAGTGAACCACTCTTGACTGTGTTCAAAGGTCTTCAGATATCTCAGAGAGAGGATGGAGATGGAAAGGCCAAAGAGAGAGATGGTCAAACAAATGACATTAAAGCAGTTAAACCGGGAGGAAATGACAAAGGTATTTATCTAGAATGGATTATAAGGAATTGGAGTTTTTTAAAATTTTTGTATTAATATTTTATTTTTTTTAATTTAATTTATTTAATATTTTATTATTAATATTTTTTATTATTTTTTTTATTTGAAAGGCAGGATTTAAAACTGCCCTCCGAATTTTATAATTCTGTAAATGCTTGACATACAGAAGAAAAAAAAATAAATTAAGATTATTTGTTTACAATATACATTTGAAATTGATTATAGTTCTTTTGTTTAACATTTGTGAATAGTGAAAATGTATTTTGAAATAAACATAGGATTTGTCATAGGCGCCATGCACTTATATAACACAAAGATATGACATTTTTGACCCACCCCTATATTCTTATAACGTTATATAACATTCCATTGATCCACGCCCCCCCTCCCCCCTTAAATGTAATATAAAATTTATAGCAACGGATAAAACTAAATTAAGTTAAAAAATAAAAGGAACCTAGCACATGTAAAGCAAAAAACCGAACATGATTTTAGCTTTTAATTATCTAAGATAATTGCATAAATATGAAAAGCAGAAATTTTGCAAAATTAAGAATAAAACATATTTTACAATAAATAAATGTTTTATAACATTGTTCTTTACCACCCCAACCCAAAATAATGCAACATAACAATAAATCACCTTCTCCCCCTTTGTTATATATTATCTGTATTGTCCCATAATTGGCAAGTCTATTTGTTTAATAAATGAAAGCCATGCAATTTATCATTATTACGGATATAATTTCCATATTGTTTATGAGATTTTTTTTTTAAAAGGATATTTCCGTCTCTATATCTTATTTCTGTTTCTCACAGGTCCACCATGGTGGCGCTCGCAGCGGTACATCCTGGCTTATCTCCTCTTTGGTGGTATGATGAACATCTTCTGTCAGAGGATCAACTTCAGTATCGCCATCATATGTATGGTCAACCACACAGCCTTAGAACTAAGTCATGATTTGTCACATGATGATATTATCAACCAATCATTCCATATATCTGAGCCTCACAATCTGACAATCAACCAATCATTTAGCAAAGGAAACATTTTGTCTCAGGAATATTTATTTAATACAATCGGTGAAGTAATTAAAATCGGGGAACATTCGGGTGTCTCAGTCTCATCACAACAGTTGAAAAATTCTTCATCTAACCAAGGTGAAGGCCAAATTACCAGGTGTGGTGGAGGAATTTCGAAAAGAAGTGGAGCAGCAGAGGTTTGTAATCTAAATAAAATTGTGTTTTGAGTTTAGTTTCATGAAGAACCTTTCAGTACAAATACTGGCGTATCTACCTTTTTCTTTTCATTCCATAATATGATAGTGTTGGTTGAAAGCATTTGAACAAAATACCCTCACTTAGAGTCAAGGCCACACTGAAAGCATTCTAAACACATGATCTGTGGGCTTTAGGATGATTAAGATGGATTTGTTGAGTTTTAAAGCTTTTTTTATTAAAAAAGATTGATTGGCTAGTTCATTTCAACGAGGGGGTGGGATTAATATTGTTATGATTTGAAGTGAACAGGATTTAATAATCGCCCCTATTTCAGGATGGCCCCTTTATCTGGGACAAGGAGCTGCAGGGGATTCTGTTAGGGGGTGTCTACTGGTCCTACCTCATTGTTCAAATCCCAGGCAACCATCTGGTCAGAAAAGTCAAGAAGAAAACGGTTATTCTGATAGCCATGTCATTAATGACAACGATGACACTACTCACACATGTGGCAGCACTCTGGAGTCCTTGGGCTGTGTTTGGAGTTAAACTCATACAAGGGGCTTGCACTGTAAGTTAAATTTTTGGCTGTTCTTTGAAAAATAGTTACAAGTATAACAGCATTGGCTGATGTATGATGTATATTCAAACTAATGAATGGGCAGAAATATTTGTGATAATTTAGTATGAAAAAAAAAAAGGATGCATCTGAGGGCAGCATTGAAATAAAAAAACAAATCTACATCCTTTTGACTTAATAAACCCTGTCAGCTTCATATTCTACACTACATGTGTCTTTGGGAGATATATTTTGTTTGCCTTTTAGATGGGACACTATTCAAGAGAACATAACTGAAGATCTTCAAGTGTAAAGTTCGGATTATTGATGATATTATTCAATCAGATACAATTTGATAAGCACCAAAAGAAAACATGGTTAAATAAAGATTTGAACTGAGTTGTGAATGCTTAACATTTGCATTTGCATAGTTATTTTTTCATTCATTGCAATACACTTAGAAAAAAAAAAGAAGATAATTCTTGACATCTAATGAACATTCCAGGCTTTCCTTATCATTGCCATGTACGGCATTTGGGAAAAATGGGCTCCACCCAAGGAAAGGGCTGGGCTGATGAGTTTGGGAGTTTCTGGCCAAATGTTGGGGAATATAACTGCATTCCCTGTGTCCGCCCTGTTATGCAAGTACGGATTTCTAGGAGGGTGGCCCTCAGTTTTCTACGTCTTTGGTTTGTACAGGAAATAAAACTTCACTTATGAAGTAAATAACATTTTAAAACCTATAAAAAACTTTGATAAATTGAACCGTTGTATTTTGTGTGACTTTGAAGTCTGTAGGCTAAGATTCAACTGTTTTTGTCTGCTCTGTATGAATAGTATGATATTTGATTGTTTCTTTAAATTTCTGTATATATTCTAAATTATTAACTTTTGAAAATGTGTCATTTGGCTTGCAAAAGAAAATAAAAGAACTTTTTGTATGTTAGGGTTTGATTCAATGTTTGAACAGCAACAACAAAATTGGAGATTGCAATTTAAGAAACTTTAAGACTTTTATGATACAGGTATGTTTGGGGCTCTGTGGATTTTACTGTGTTACCTACTGATTGATGACAGTCCCAGCAGTCATAGATTCATTACAGAAGCTGAGCAAAGTTACATAACAGAATCGATTTCTCAAAGGGAAGCAACCAGCATGGTAAGGGAGTTAAGGATGAATTTAAAAGAAAAAAAAATATACAAGTTCTAGGAAGTTATTAAAAAAAACAAAATAATCAAGTTTTATTTAATAATGAATTTTGATGTGCTCTGTGAATGCTGTGAAATTATCTTGCATTCTTTAATGTCTTTACACATTTTACTCTATCATTTGTTGATGAGAATTATAATAATTAATATTTTAAAAATTTGAAATAAAATAAATTATAAACTACAGGTATATTTAATTGCATAGCAGATTAACAGAGAACTCAGTACAGTAAATGAATCTCTTTTTACCACAAAAATACATGATAAAATTATAACTTACCAGTTGTAATTAATATTTTAAACTTTAAGTGTTAAAGTTATTTAAAAATGTACATAAAAAGGTTGATCAAATTAAAAAAGGCCAAAATAATATATACTTTTTTTTCTCTCTTTATCTTATCAATAAAAATTTTTTGTGAAACTCATCAGGTTAAAATTCCCTGGAAGGCCATTCTAACATGTCTCCCATTCTGGGGCATTGTGAGTGCACATGTCAGCTACACCTGGGGCTTGTTTCTCTTCCTCTCCACACTGCCACAGTACATGTATGAAGTACTCAAGTTTGACATTAAAAATGTGAGAGTATATTTTTTTTAAAGATTATTTTGTATCATTTTAAACACGACTTAATTTATTTAAGTGAACACCATAACTTTAGAGACATAAATTGAGAAAATGAAACATCAACTAATATTTAAACTCATTTGTTTACATAAAAACATAATTTGGAAGATATAATTAGCAGTGCCTATTTTTCTGCCTTTTTGTGCGAATAAAACTGCTGTATAAATAATACATTTATTTAGAGACATAATTCTTTTCAAACAAAAGCTTATTTTTTTTGTTCAAAACAAGCTGTTTGTTGTTTCTTGTTGCCTTTTATAATTAGACAGTACGTACAATTTCATTAACAATAAAATTTATATTTTAAATTATCATTATAGTTGAAATAAAAAAAACCCTTATTTATTGACTAGGGTAAAATTAAGAATAAAGTTCATAACTTTAACATTTCAGATTAATAAGTGTTCCCTTATATAAAAGAAGGATGGGATGGGACTCGTTAGCCTTGGACGGCAACCTGTCTAAGAGAAGGCAAACTCTGAATTTAAAACCAGGAGCCAGAATGATCAACAAATTGATCGTGGGCACCTCAAATATAAGAAGAAGAAGAAATCTTGAATGTTTAAATTTGTTTGCTGCATAGACCAAAATGTTAATTGATAATTTTGTTTGTCTCAGAATGGTGCATTCACCATGTTGCCCTACATTGCCCTGATGATCACAACTCTGTCAGCTGGGCAAATTAGTGACTGGGTCATTAGGAAGAAATTTATTCGTGTGCTATGGACTAGGAAGATTTGTATAATCATATGTAAGTTGTTTCATAACAAGCCATGCCATCTCTATATATATTTGAGTTGTGAATTTATACTGCTTTAGATCTGATAAAGGCATTTAAAAAAAATGTTAAATTCAGGTTTAAATGGGATGTGAGTTGTGAGCTTATTAAAATTTTATTTTAAGATTAAAAATTTTTTGAAAATTAAAAAAAAATGTTTAAAAGATTTTGCAAAAAATGACTATTAAACATAGGACAAGAAGTTTTTATAATAGCAAATTTGAAACAAAAATATTGCAACTACTATTATAAATACTAGTGGAGAACTTCAAAGGGTTAAAACATTGTGCATGTTCAGAATAAAGGGAAAGTTTAATTTCTTACAAATAAGGGGCTGACATTTTTAATGAGAAGCGGCATATATTTTTAAAAAAAATTATTTGTGCAAATTATAAAATACCATTTTGATGAGAAAGCATATTTAGTTTTAAAAGAGAATCTTGATATAAAGAAAACTATTGATTCTTTTGCTTGTTATATTGTTAGCATTCCATGTTTTTTAACGTTGTAATCTCACAGCCCATTTTATACCTGCTGTCATGTTGGTCAGTTTAAGTTTCCTGGACTGTGAACAAGCTGGCTTGGCCATAACGTTACTAGTTATAGGTGTTGGTGTGACAGGTGAGCTTTCTGTGTGTGTGTGTGCTTGTATAATGTAGTGCTCTTTTCTTTTTCAACGCCATAAATCAGAATAACTTGTCAATATCAGAGATAATGACTGCATGCTAAAACAACTAACAAACAAAACAACTTGATGACAAAAAGAAAAATACAATGATGTTTAAAATGAGTTATGAACCAGCAAATGAATGTCTCTGTGTATTTCTTGCTGGTTTTGGATGCTCCTCAGAGAAAACATGCCTCTATATCAGCTGTACTACACATTTTTGAAAACCTGTCCTTTGAACTCATCATCTTTGGGCTACTTTAGTTTAACATTTTTAACTTTGTCTTTATAACAATAAATTAAACATTCTTAATTTATGACTCTATGTGGTTCCGTTCATGTTTAAGTTAATAATGTAAAACTTTGTCTTTCAAGGATTTGGATTGTGTGGAGTCCTGGTGAACCCCTTTGACATTGCCCCCAGGTTTGCCACAGTTATGATGTCAATCAGCAACACCTTAGCAACAATCCCTGGGATTCTTACACCATATGTTGTGGCAGCCATTACAAAAGAGGTGAGATTCCAGGTCCCCACATATTATAGGTAGTAATCCTGTTGGTAATATTAGACCACACTCTGTTAGTTGTTTCTGACTTTTTTTATCTTGGTTGCTTCAAACTGACTGCTCCAACCTGACTGTTCCAACCTAACTGCTTCAAACTGACTGCTCCAACCTGACTGCACCAACCTGACTGTGGCAACCTGACTGCTCCAACCTGACTGTGCCAACTTGACTGCTCCAACCTGACTGTGCCAACCTGACTGTGCCAACCTGAATGCTCCAACCTAGCTGCTACAACCTGACTGCGCCAACCTGCCTGTCCCAACCTGACTTCTCCAAACTTACTGTTACAAACTGACTGTCACAACCTGACTTCTCCAAAGTGACTGTACCAAACTGACTGTCCAAACCTGACTTCTCCAACCTGACTGCTCCAAACTGACTGTGCCCACCCTGACTGTGCCAACCTGACTGTGCTAACCTGACTGTGCCAACCTGACTGTGCCAACCTGACTGCTCCAAATTGACTGCTACAACCTGACTGCGCCAACCTGCCTGTCCCAACCTGACTTCTCCAAACTGACTGCTCCAACCTAACTGCTTCAACCCTACTACATTGCATACATCTCTTCCCTGCCATCTATTATTTCTCCCATCTGTTTGAGTTTTCAACTGTCCTGTCATTAGATCAGACCCTCATGATGCGTTTGCCTATATTTCCACAGCAAACAAGACAACAGTGGCAGATTGTCTTATTCCTAACATCAGGCATATATGTACTTGGAGCACTTGGCTTCTGTGTCCTGGCCAAATCTGACGTCCAGGGTTGGGCATCTCAGACGGGTCCTCAAACTGTGATCATTGTAGAGAACGGGGAGATATTGTTTAGCAAGGAAGATGTTGACAATCCAATTAACAATAAATTGTGATCCATTATTTATTTTAAATGAATTGGTTTGTTTCATAATTTACTTATTATATCACCCTAGACTATAAGCAAGTTTGCTAATGTTCAGACAATAGGCCAGTTTGCTAATGTTCAGACAACAGGCCAGTTTGCAAATGTTCATTGCTGAACTGCCTTCCATCAAGCTTATATTGATATTTGTTTTTGGTTGTTCAGTGTCCTTTTTATTTATGTCAAGATCATTGAGGAATATTTCACAAGAGTAAACCATTTTAACACAATCAAGGACAAGAAAAGGAAATTTCCTTTGACTTTTCCTTTTGGGTTTATATATAAGGCATACCATTATAAACCAATATGTCTGTATGTGCGGCGATGTGTGTATGTTTGGGGCTCATATTTGGGAGTTCCCTCTGGGCAAAAATTATTATTTTTTGCTCACTGTGCAAAAATAAGCGAATATTGTACTTTTTATTTTATTCCTATCAAAGGCCCTTGCCTACTTTTTCTTTGATCCAACCCAGTTCCATAAATTGTTATGTGTGGAGATTCCCGAACTGCCCATTAGTACTATAACGATAAATTGCTTTATTGTAATTACAAGTTAACCCACGTTCATTATCAACTTTAAAAATTAAAAACTAGATTTCTCGTAAGGGGAACCAATAAGCACGTGCCTCATTTGCTGGGAACCAAAAGACATGTGCCTCATTTGCCCGGAAACCAATGGGCACGTCCTAATTTGCCGGGAACCAATAGACACGTGCCTCATTTCCCGGGAACCAATGGGCACGTCGTTATTTGCCGGGAACCAATTGCCACGTGCCTCATTTGTCTGGGAATCAATAGGCACGTCTTTTCCGGGAACCAATAGGCACGTGCATCATTTGACGTTAATTCGTCACTGAATGGATAGGCTTCCTTAAAATTTTTCGATAGGTAGTTTAACAATGACTTTTAGGCTTTGAGGTAGCTTTGTGGATAATTTTTCACATTATGTCCAGCATTTGACTTTATCGACATTTGGGCGTATCAAATGATTGAGATCAAAATATTGGCATAACAGATGATTGAGATCGACATAATGGCATATCAAATGATTGAGATCGACATATTGGCATATCAACTGATTGAGATCGACATATTGGCATATCAAATGATTGAGATCGATTCCGTTTAAAAAAAAACAAAAAAACCCGGTATTTCTGACTTATGGGCTCCTGCTTCAATGTAAATCCTTTCAAAATATTTGTATTCTTTGTTTTTTATCTACATATATTACACTAAAACACGGTATATGGTAGGTATTTTCATTTTGTAAAAAAATAATAGATTCGTCTACATATAATCAACGGGAAACACAATGTCATGACTCATGATACTCGAACAGTGATAATGCACCAAGCTGGGGTTACACAATTTAACTATCATTAGTTGAAATTATTATTCACAGTGTGTTATTAGGTCAAAGAGGTAGGATAGACACCCCCACCCCCCTAAAAAAAAACCACTGAAAAAATCCACAACAAATTTTTGTTATAGAAAGCTCACCTTCAGAAAGGTGGTATATATATTATTTTAAGTCTACACTAAAAAAATCTATAAGGTCTTAACTATCACTTAGCAGTCGAACGGCAGAAGGCTACCTCCAACAGTTTTTAATTATTGCTTACTATCAGTCATTGCTAGAAGGCTATTTCCATCAGGTTTTAATCAACACTTAAAAGCCTTTCAGGCGCTAGAAGGCTATACCATAATTATGGTCGCTATGTAAAATGAATGCCACATTTCTTCTTGAGATGTTTAATTTCTGTTGTGTTAAAACAGGAAGTCCATGTGAATTCAAGAAAATGAGCCACAAAACTTACTGTCCGATAAAAATGTGGAGCTTTTTTTTAAACACGGCAGTTACATTGGTCTCCCCTTGGTTGCATAAAAAAAATTAATCAATCAATCAATACAACACTGATTTCTGTCTGGTCACTTGCCTCCACGTGGACATCCTCTTGTTCAGGTCACAAAAACTATCGCCAGGGGTCGGACGAAACTTAAAAGCATGGCCCCAGGCAAGATTATCATATGTTTGGTGAAAGACGACGGTTCTTACGTCAGGTGCGATGGCTCTGTCTTCAACGATTACTAGAAACTCACCGACAGTGGCGTGCTGCGGGGTCATTGTAGCAGTGGCGTATTGCGTGGTCAAAGTTAATGTCAACCTCTATTTCGGCCTTTCAAATACCATGAATGGGGGGATAGAGACCTAGTTGCTCAAACTACTAACTACTAACATGTTAAACTTTAACGATATCGTGCTGATAGTAATGGACAAGCCTGCGGTCTTCCAAACGAAGGGGTTGATTAATTTGAAGAAAACGATTAGATATGCTACGCGACTAGCTAGGTTCGGTTTAATGAGATTTGGTGTATAACGCGAATAGCTTGGGTCGGATTTATCAGATTAAAAGAACGACGGGAATGATTTGGAGTCAGATTAATGAGATTAGTGGCACGATGTGACTGACTGGGATCAGATTAAAGAGATTAGTGGCACGATGTGACTGGGTGGGATCAGATTAAAAAGATTAGTGGCACGATTTGACTGGCTGGGATCAGATTAAAGAGATTAGTGGCACGATGTGACTGGCTGGGATCAGATTAATGAGATTAGTGGCACGATAAGAATGACTGGGATCAGATTAATGAGATTAGTGGCACGATGTGATTGGCCGGGATCAGATTAATGAGATTAGTGGTACGATAAGAATGGCCGGGATCAGATTAATGAGCCAAGGGGTATGACGTATATGCCTGGGAGTCAGGTTAATGAGGTTAGTGGCACGATGAGAATCACTGTGGTCGGATTAATCAGGTTAGTGGCAAGACGTGAATGGCTAGGAATCAGATTAATGAGATTATTAGAACGATGAGAATTGCTGTGGTCAGATTAATGAGGTTAGTGGCACGATGAGAATCGCTGGGGATCAGATTAATGAGATTAGTGGCAGAGCACGTAATGCTGGGTTCAGTGAGACTAAAGGCATGACGTAAATTATCCAAGAGACAGGGAAAAGTATTACGCCCGACAGCCTTTCCCAAAGGAGTACCGTCATACCATCTTACTGCGTCAAACTATGATTACCTTACAGTATCAAACTACCGCCACCTTACTGTGTCAAAGAACGACCATCTTACTGCGTCAAACAATGACCACCTTAAGACGACACAGGAAGTCAACTAACAAATGCAAAAAATAACTCAAATTTATTTTTTACATTTTTCACATCTGTTATTTATTGTTGTCAGAACTTTGATTACCTTCGTTTCTCAACACCATCTCCCCGTGATCAACGATGATCACAGTTTGAGGACCAGCTTCAGAAGCCCAGTTCTGTACGTCAGACCTGGCCAGGACACAGAAGCCAAGTGCTCCAAGTGCGTATATGCCTGATGTTAGGAATAGAACAATCTGCCACTGTTCCCTTGTTTGCTGTTAAAAACGTCGAGACAGAAAAATAACGAGGCCAGTATTAAGTCTTATCGAGTGCGCTATAAATTTAAGCACATGTGCGCAATCGACCAGAAGCGCACCCTGAACTTCATGCTCCAAGATCGCAATTTTAAAGGGTAAACTTAAATTAATTTAAAAGCAAGTTTTGGGACTGAAGACTACTCTCAAATCAAACCTGTTTCGTGACGGCTGCCACAACAACAGGTGTGAGAAGCCCTGGGATGGTGGCCAGGGTGTTGCTAATGGACATCATGATTGTGGCGAATCTCGGCGCGATGTCGAAAGGCGTCACCTGAATGCCAGACACACTGAAACCTGGGGGGTAAAACATAACACTGGAAACTAAGTCAACACGAACACATCGTATGTGACATACTGACCATAACGAAACAACCCACGAGTCGGTTCTAGAGACGTTTCCCCAGCCACATAAAGACACATAATAAAGACATCATTAGAATACAAAAGATCTAATTCAAAGCAAGAACAGATGCCCCTGCAATAAGTCCTGGGAGTAAACTGAGAGATGAAGATACTTAAGAATGCGTTATCTCTGATTCTTAAAACTATATGAACAGAAATATTTCGTTTGATATGAAAGTGGTCCTTATCAAATTTTGAAGTCTCACCTCCATCCACTATCCACCTAATATGAAACTGGCTTGACAGATATTGACATATTCCCATTATATATCAGACACCCCCCCCCCCACACGCCTTTGTTATCAAACATAGGACTTAAGTGAAGGCAGGACATTAGATTTGGATTGGTTTAAGTTTGTCATCGCAATATTGTAGTGTGAGTTTAATTGCATGACTGGGCACACAATGACATATTGGGGCCAAGGCAGTTACATATTGGGGTTAACACATGACATACTGGCGACAACATATTGCCATATTGAGGTCAATATAATGACATAATGGGCCAACGAAGTTACATATTGGGTACAGCACTGTGAAATATTGGGACAACACTGAAATATTGGGACAACACATTGACATATTTGGACAACACATTGACATATTGGGGACAACAAATTGAGATATTGGGGACAACACAGTGACATACTGGTGACGACACAGTGACATATTCTTTCACCTATCATATTTGGATCATTTTCTCAGAACATTTGCTTCATATTTTCTGTAGCCTTAAGATCAATATTTTAAAATAAGCATAATGTTTTATGTTCTCGTTTGTAGTTAATAAACTAAACCAACTCCAGTCACCAGTCACATTATTGCCAACCCAGCCTGGTCACAGTCCAGGAAACTTACCCACCTGTAGCACCAACTCTAATAACCAGTCACGTTATGGCCAACCCAGCTTGGCCACTGTCCAGGAAACTTACCCACCTGTAGCACCAACTCTAATAACCAGTCACGATATGGCCAACCCAGCTTGGCCACTGTCCAGGAAACTTACCCACCTGTAGCACCAACACTAATAACCAGTCACGTTATGGCCAACCCAGCTTGGCCACTGTCCAGGAAACTTACCTACCTGTAGCACCAACTCCAATCACCATTAACATTATAGCCAACTCAGCCTGGCCACTGTCCAGGAAACTTACCCACCTGTAGCACCAACTCCAGTCACCAGTAACATAATAGCCAACCCAGCCTGGTCACGGTCCAGGAAACTCAAACCGACCAACACAACAGCAGGGATCAAGTGCGCTGTGAAATGTTTCACAAGGGAGTTCGTTAATGGTAAAGCTATTGCATTGTTGAGTCTGTGTCCTGTGTAGTGTTTAGGACTTCGTTAATTTTAGAGTCATTGCGTTGTTCGGCCTGTGTCCTGTGTAGTGTTTAGGACTTCGTTAATTTTAGAGTCATTGCGTTGTTCGGCCTGTGTCCTGTGTAGTGTTTAATGTGGGTTAATAATAAAGTGACATGTGGGACGGTTGACGATATAAAGCTTTAAATAAGAAAATATGAAGATCACGTGATGTGACTGTCGTTGAATGACCGAATAAAAGTGTTGCTTTGTTTTTGAAAGTCGCTCTCGCCTCCCTCTCTTTTCTCAAATCAATTTTTTTAGAGCTTCATATTTTCATATCTTTATAAACATTTGAAGTTTGAGTGGACTTAACATATCAGCCATAAAAATGCGTTCATCCAAGACAGACACGGGAGATGAAAGAAGCTGAAGAAGAAGCAGTTTTTGTTGACATGGGGCTCTCAGACCACGAAAGACAACCACGAGAGATGAAAGACGCTGAAGAAGAAGCAATGTTTGTTGACATGGGACTCAAAGACAATGAAAGACAGTGACGACAGATGAAAGACGCTGAAGAAGAAGCAATGTTTGTTGACATGGGACTCAAAAGACAACGAAAGACAGCCACGAGAGATGAAAGACGCTGACGAAGAAGCAATGTTTGTTGACATGGGACTCAAAGACAATGAAAGACAGTGACGACAGATGAAAGATGCTGAAGAAGAAGCAATGTTTGTTGACATGGGACTCAAAAGACAACGAAAGACAGCCACGAGAGATGAAAGAAGCTGAAAAAGAAGAAGCAGTTTTTGTTGACATGGGACTCACAGACAACGATGAACATCTTCCTGGCCCACACGACACTGATGAATCTTTTCCTTATGAGCCAGTCATTGAGCTGTCCTGATGATTGGGTCGTGAGCAAGAGGGCGATGTAAGGCATCATTGCGTACAGCCCGTTCTAAAAATGTTTCCGGTGAATGGGAGGAAATTTAAGCAAAAATAATAATTTCACATTTAACTGATAATTAATTATTAAAAGAAACCTAATAAAAAAAGTTTCAAAAATTAATACTGTGTGACTGAATTTTTAATTTTTTTTTGTCGTTTAATGATTCTGTTTAGAATAATAAAAAAGTGTGTGGGTTGTGGCTGTCTTAAGATGAATTAGTTAAACATCATTGTGATTGTTACAAATTAATTATGATTGCAGTGAGTACACGATTGTACTATTTTTACCACCCAGTACAACAATATTTTTTCATGCATAAATAAAAAAAAAACTTAAATAGAGAAATAATTGTAGACACCAAGGATTAACTTTTAAATACCTTCACATTTACGCAAATAAAACAACATATTACGTCGCCCTCTTGTATCGTTTGTGACCTGGCTAAAACGTTGATTGAATAATTGAACTCACGTTTTTAATGTCAAACTTGAGAACTTCATACATGTACTGTGGCAGTGTGGAGAGGAACAGAAACAAGCCCCAAGTGTAGCTGACGTGGGCACTCACAATGCCCCAGAATGGAAGACACGTTAGAATGGCCTTCCAAGGAGCTTTGACCGGCTGAAAGAGCGACATTAGTTTTGTGTTTAAATTAATTCAGCAATGTGTGTGTGTATTTTCTAGTGGAGGGGCAAAGTTACCACCCTTTTCATGTAGTAGAGTGCAGCCGATTTCTGTGTACTATCTAGAGTACAAAATATGTATGCGTATTATTTAACCTTGGGATAATGCCTCTACTCCCTCATAAAGTAGAAACAAGCCCTGTCTGTGTATTGTTTAAGCTAGGGGCACAAGGTCGGTTTTGTATTATCGAAATTAGGGACACAAGCCCTCAATGTATATTATCTAACCTAGCGACACAAGCCTTGACGAGAATACCTTTGTATAGAATATTATCAATAGGTTGATATTTTCTGAGTCACCGATAAAAACGGCTTTATATTTTAGGACTGAATCGATCCCAGTAAATTCAACACATTAAAAAAGGTTTAGTTTCTCATTCTAATGCTGTATCAGCAAACGTTGAATAAAATTGTAACCAGAAATATATTTGAAAAAGTCATTGGCAAAATATCTACATTTAAAATAACAAAAAAAATGGATCAATGAAAAAGTAATGTGTAGTTGTGCAAACAATTATACATATAGCACTAGATATTTCAATATTTTACATGTCTCATGTTAAACTCGATGGGCACTCTTCTTGATCTAGAAGTTGACACAAAAAAGTGCTAAAACTTTATTATACTCCATCGACTTCTCAATCAGTCTTCATTACCAGCCGAGTTCCTCCTGTATGAGCTAAACACTCTGTAATGTAAGTTTTCTCCCCTTCCGTAATGAATCTATGACTGCTAGGACTGTCGTCTGCCAGGAGGTAAAACAGCAGAATCCAAAGCACCCCTAGTATACCTGACGGAAAATATATCAGTAGTAAAATGGATTATATTTTAAAGCAATAACTGTGCTCTCTTTGAGTAGACTGTAGATCATGGACAGAAACTACCGATCAACATTACAGACTTGTGGACATGACTTTACAAAGCACCAAAAGACATTATTTAAGAAGAAAAGAAACATTTCAAACACCCGCTTACTTCAATATTAAATAGGAAATGGTTGGAGAAGAACTTTCAAAAGATTTTCAACTAAGAACATAGCTTAATGAATATATACACCAAAGTTGAATAATATAATTATAATTAGTCTCTTAAAATCAATAGCCGAGGTCTTATTATGGATAGGTTTTCGTTCAATCCAGCAATTAACGTCATTTACGGAGATTTAATATTCAAGGTACAAACCAAAGACATAGAAAACTGAGGGCCACCCTCCTAGAAATCCGTACTTGCATAACAGGGCAGACACAGGGAAGACCGTTATATTCCCCAACATTTGGCCAGAGATTCCCAAACTTATCAGCCCGGCCCTTTCCTTGGGTGGAGCCCATTTTTCCCAAATGCCATACATGGCAATGATAAGGAAGGCCTGGAAGGTAGATACAATATGATCAGGAGTCTCAATAGATGTATGTTTGGATAGAAATAATTTATATTACTTTCGACTAAAGAAACTGATAATTCTCGTCATGTTTAAAAAAAAAATAAATGTATGCAAGATTACGTTATTTGAACACTATTTGCATACACAACATTAAGAAACTCACAGTGCAACTCCCTTGGATGAGTTTAACTCCAAACACCGCCCAGGGGCTCCAGAGTGCTGCCACATGCATAAGTAGTGTCATCGTTGTCATTAATGACATTGCTATCAGAATGACCGTTTTCTTTTTGACTTTTCTGACCAGATGGTTGCCTGGGATTTGAAGAATGAGGTAGGACCAGTAGACAGCTCCTAACAGAGTTCCCTGCAGCCCTTTGTCCCAGACAAAGGGGCCATCCTAGAACATCCAATTGTAATGAAATGTTGTTAACTGATATAATTTATTGAGATCAATAGTTCTTTGAACACTACTTTCATAGACACAATTAAGACACTCACATTGATGCTACAACAGTTCCAAACTTGCGTGGTAGGAATGATAATTACCCTGGTCAACAGTGAGGGATTAAGACTCCCAGAGCCCTCCCCACTTGGAAAAATTATATCTTAATTTCATATCAGTAAGTTTGCTGCCAGCTGGAATAAGTTAAGCTTTTATCCGCCTTACACCCAAGAAAAAATCGAGCTAGATGGCCAAAAATCTCGACCATTAATATAACATATATTAATATTCTGATGTCTTTCCACTTTTAAATCGACTATGTATTACACCATTTTCAAATTGAAACGATTGCATTTTCGAAAAGAAAATTTGACTCACCAAACGCAGTTGCGTTATTTCAAAAAATCCTTTAGCGTAGTTAACGGGAATTATAATTTGCGCGCTATCCGGAAAAGGAAGCAGACAAACCAAAAGCAATATATATAAGAATGAGCTATGCTGACATAATGCTAAAAAACATAATATATTTTGAAACGTTCGAACACTTAAAAACAATCATAGTTACTTTCTAGTATTTTACTGAAGTCGAATAAATTTACATGCGCAAAAATTATACTTCCACATTTATTTTAGCAAAAGTTCAAGTATTATTATTATAAATTACAAATATATTTCATGTAACAACTAAAGAACTATTTTAAGCATTTTATCCCAATGTAAAATGTATGAAAACAGTATTATTACTAAAAATATTATGATCTAAGAATTGAATCTTAATCACATTAATCGGGGAAAACCAAACATCTGTTAGCCTTAGTGCGTCTATTAGTTCGTATTTAATATTGCAAAATAAAAATAAAATTCATTTGATCTAAATAATTAAGCAAATGACGTCATATCGTGATTGCCTATTTTAGCAACAGCTCTAATAAGTTATTTTTTTTATTTTATAACCGTGCTTGAAAAAACTGATAATGTATTTTCCCATTCTTAAAAGTAAAATTAATACATATAATAGATTGCTTTTAAAATTGCTAAAATTTTCTAAAATTAAATACAACTTTAGCCTTGTATTTTTAAGATTTAATAAGTATTTACTTTTATTCTTTCAAGAAATATACCTTTATGAAATGTATATAGTAGTGAAAAACGTACCCTTTAAGTCACCGTACCCGCTTCATGCAATCAGTGCAGCGAAACTACATATCCAAATAGCATTCACTAATGCACTAGTAACTCATCCAAAAAGCATTCACTAATGTACTAGTAACTCATCCAAATAGCATTCACTAATGTACTAGTAACTCATCCAAATAGCATTCACTAATGCACTAGTAACTCATCCAAATAGCATTCACTAATGTACTAGTAACTCATCCAAATAGCATTCACTAATGCACTAGTAACTCATCCAAATAGCATTCACTAATGCTCTAGTCATTAATCCAAATAGCATTCACTAATGCACTAGTCACTCATCCAAATAGCATTCACTAATGTACTAGTCACTCATCCAAATAGCATTCACTAATGTACTAGTCACTCATCCAAATAGCATTCACTAACGCACTAGTCACTCATCCAAATAGCATTCACTAACGCACTAGTCACTCATCCAAATAGCATTCACTAATGTACTAGTAACTCATCCAAATAGCATTCACTAACGCACTAGTCACTCATCCAAATAGCATTCACTAATGCACTAGTCACTAATCCAAATAACATTCACTAATGCACTAGTCACTCATCCAAATAGCATTCACTAATGTACTAGTCACTCATCCAAATAACATTCACTAATGTACTAGTCACTTATCCAAATAGCATTGACTAATGCACTAGTCACTCATCCAAATAGCATTGACTAATGCACTAGTCACTCATCCAAATAGCATTCACTAATGTACTAGTCACTCATCCAAATAGCATTGACTAATGCACTAGTCACTCATCCAAATAGCATTCACTAATGTATTAGTCACTCATCCAAATAGCATTCACTAATGCACTAGTCACTCATCCAAATAGCATTCACTAATGCACTAGTCACTCATCCAAATAGCATTCCCTAATGCACTAGTCACTCATCCAAATAGCATTCACTAATGCACTAGTCACTCATCCAAATAGCATTCACTAATGCACTAGTCACTCATCCAAATAGCATTCACTAACGCACTAGTCACTCATCCAAATAGCATTCACTAACGCACTAGTCACTCATCCAAATAGCATTCACTAACGCACTAGTCACTCATCCAAATAGCATTCACTAACGCACTAGTCACTCATCCAAATAGCATTCACTAACGCACTAGTCACTCATCCAAATAGCATTCACTAACGCACTAGTCACTCATCCAAATAGCATTCACTAACGCACTAGTCACTCATCCAAATAGCATTCACTAATGCACTAGTCACTCATCCAAATAGCATTCACTAACGCACTAGTCACTCATCCAAATAGCATTCACTAA